CCTCTTTGAAGTATACAGATAACTTGGCAATCGTTGTACGTATCAACTTTCTATTTGCAAATATCTGATGGCTCTCTATCGCTGCGCAATATTTCTCGATGGATACCATGTATGGTCGCAGAAGAAAAAGACAGATATATATATATATATACACAAATGCATATAATAATTATCTGATTTACAAAAATCCTATATCACGCTTGTGTTTGGAAAACGCTATATTCTAACCTAATCTAGATTAACCTGTTCGATGATAGAAAACTGATTAGAATATTAATTTAAAAATGCTATCGAAAAATTTATTCGAAATAGAATAGAATATGTAAAAATATGAAAATCCATATCGTATTCCTCTAACCTTAATAAAAATCGGCATCGAAAGGAGAAAAATCCGTGAATTCCATCGTAACGAGAGATCAATGGTGGCGCCCTCGGTGTATGCGACAATGCACGTGGCGATGGTAATCGTGGTTGCACGTGGGTTGAAAACCGAACAGCGCCCACGCATCGTACATTCTCGTTTGTCCTTCGATTCTCTTGATCGCTGTTTAACGATGGTATTAACACTTGCCATATTCATATATTCGTGTAATTTTTTTTTTTTCCTTTTTTTTTTTAACGATCCTGTCACTTTACTCTTTCTTTGTTACACTCACTTTCTTCGTTTTCTTTGTCTATCATTGTCACTTATTCATCCGTCTTTCTTCTCTCGATCGCTAGGCGCGTCTCTCACTCGTCTTTCCATCTTCTTCTCTCGTACAGATCTCATCTTCGTTCCTTTCGATTAAGTAATACACTGTGCAATCAACTTACTGGGGAACAGTGTAAATACACAGCACCCCATTGAGAATCCTCTTGAACGATCCTCTCGCTCACTTGACCAACTTTGGCTAACATAAGGTTAGAAGTGATATTTCCTACATATAATACGCAGTAATATGGAATGTTTATGTGACAAAATAGTAATAAAACGAAATAACATCTTCGATATATATTTTTCGCTGTGTAATTTTCTTGGAAGATCAAGAACGTCAGTTTCGGAATTTCAATCGAGAAATTTCGAACGATTTTATAGTATGATAAAGACACACCCTAGGCTTTATATATATATATATAAAGGTATTCAAAAGGAGCGCTCCCTTTGTCGAAGCCACCCTCACTAGTGCTTCTTGTATCCGCTAGATTCGACCCAGTTCTCGATATTCCGGAACAGGGTGTTCTTCGTTCAGGGAAGCGACTCTCTTCGCCTCTCGAGGTCGAGAGGGTTTAATCCAAGTTATCTCTTCACGAATAATATCGAGATTAATAAAGTCGGTGCACGTAAAATATAATGTTTAAAATTTCGATCGGAAATAATATCTAGAAATCGATTTTTTTTCACTTTCATTTTGCTTTTTCATCAAAAGTGATTTCCAAAAGTTTGAATATTTCCAAAACTATTTTTTCAAAATTTGAAAATTTTTAAAACCATCTATATTTCTCATATATCTTTGAAAATTTGAAAATTTTTTCAAAATGTGAAAACATGTAAACCATGCATTTTTTTCAAAATTTGAAAATTTTCAAAACTATATTACCATATTACATTTAGAAATTTGAAAAACTATTTTTTTTTTCGACAACTTCCAAAATCATGCATTTTTTTCAAAATTTGAAAAATTTCAAAACCATATTACCATATTATCTTTAGAAATTTGAAAATTTTTCCAAAATATGAAAACATCAATCATACATTTTTTTCAAAATTTGAAAATTTTCAAAACCATATTATCATGTAATACCTTTAAAAATTTGAAAAACTTAAATTTCCAAAACCAAGTA